GCGCTAGTGTGGTGGTAGCAACATGCTATGTGTTTACATCCATCGCCGCCATGTTTGTGATGACTTACGATAACAAACGTATTCACATGACTTTAATAACATTTCTTACTTAATGCAAACACCGCAGTCGCAAAACTGTGTTTTTTGACATTAACAGAATATCGACAAAGTTTTTCGCGCATTTGCGATGGAAACGCAGCTAATGTTGTATGTCAAAGAGCTTAAAGTGCTCCTCATAGAGGGTAAAACCTGGAATATGTGAGACTGAAACTCTGACATGTTTTACAGAACCAGGAGGTTTGATCAGTCTGGACCGTTACCATTTACAGACWTGCTGACTACAAAGGTTCTGGGTCTGAGTCAGGGGGTGGGGAAAGACTCGGACCAAACTCTTTGGATCTTTCCTGTCAGTCAGGTTAGCAGGTCGAGCTAAAAGCAGAGACCATGGATTTGCAGCACAGCTCCTGATCACATGACTGCTTTATTTCAACAGTCAGCCTGTTTCTTTAWGAACTCGTCGTTTTGCCAAGACACGATCTGTCTTCTTCTATCAATCTTGATCACTTTTATGTCACTCATGACTCACATCCTGGTCTCCCAGTCCCCAGATCCCAGCGCTGAAGTCCCAGCCTTCAAAGTGATAATGAAGATGTTTGTGTAGAGCAGATCCACGGTGTTTGCACAGCGATCACATGCTCCCGGCTGACCTTACACACTTCCTGGCGTTCCTCCAGGCACAAACAGAGAGCTACCAGAGTTCAGTGAACTCTCTGTCAGCTGCTGGCTCCTCTGCAGCACACAGGCTCTGCTGTCGTGTCTGCGCGAACAGCTTTTCTCTCTTCTTCATTCTACAGTGTTATATACAGGTGCATTTAAAATAACAACACTCGTATATAGATCCATGCTACACAGWGACACGTTTTAGCAGCTGATGAGTGTCGCAGATAATTAGGGGTGGAAACTCAAAGTTTAGARAGGAACAACCTCAACTCAGATTTTCAACAAAACAAYCWGATTTCATTTAAACAACATGCGGACGTGGCAATAAATATCTGACCTGGATGACTGAGAATCTTCACCACATTATAAAGACTGATAACATAAAGACTGACGCCCTGACCAATGAGTACACATAAAGTACAGGATGTACCTTTTATATTTACATTTCTGMACTGAACTAAAGGTTTTCCTGAGGTTCTGTTTATAGAAAAATCTTTAAAAAGTTCCCACTGATCTCAGATCTCCTGTCTCCAGGTGACTCAGCAGCTTTCTGTGTTTTCACTACAGTCAYTAAAAGCATCAGGATAAATAACAGCTGCTATCAGTTCTCATGGGTTCTGCCCGGTCGTGTTGCTGTGGAGAACAGAGAACTGGTCTCTGAGTTCATGATGTGCACACACTTCTGCTTTCTAACTGCTGCCTAGAAACCCTGGTTTCCTCTTTGTGTTGTTTCCTCAGCTGAAGTTCACATTAGGTTAAACTGATGATTTGATTTCCTGAGAGGACATGAACAAAGACCTGTGACCTTTGGACTGCTGTAAATAAACTGGCATGGCTGATCATGCTCTGAGTTTCCCCAAGCATGAACAAAATGTTTCACAGAGCTACTGCTGCTCCCGTCTACATGTCTGTGCAGATTCAAATGTGCTGGAATATCATTATATATATTATATAATATCATGTATATTATATACATTTAACTCAGAGGCCCTTTATTAGATACAACAGAAAAAAACTAATCAGCCAATCACACGGCAGGCTTCAGGTATGTAGGGGCTGATGACCAGCCATCAAACCAGCCAATAAACCAGGCATCAAACCAGTCAATAAACCAGGCATCAAACCAGTCAATAAACCGGGCATCAAACCAGTCAATAAACCAGGCATCAAACCAGTCAATAAACCG